ACTGATGCACCACAGAAGGAAACGCTGTCTGTCTGGCCCTGCGCCATTACCACAACTGTTTTTGCAGTTCCAGCCGACTGCTGCAAGCGCTGCGTCAGTCCATCTTGTCGAGGGCCTTCCTCCTTTTCACGGCCCCTCCACTTGACCAAGCTGATGTCCTTCTCCAGGGACTGGTCTGTCTCGAGAACATACCCAAAGCACACGAGGTGACATCTCGCCAGCCTCGCTTCTAAGGAGCATTCTGGTTGTACTTCCTCTAAGATGGTTCGGTTTGCTCTTTTAGGAGTCCAGTACTTTCAATATCCTTTGATCTTCCTTATTCAATGTTCAACTTTCACATGCTTAAGAGGCAATTGAAAATAGCATGGCTTGAGGCAGGTGCACCTTAGTCCTCAAAGGAACACCCCTGCTTTCCAACACTCTAAAGGGGTCTTGTGCGGCAGATTTACTTAATGCAATGTGGCATTTGATCTCTTGACTGCTGCTTCCATGAGCATTGATTGTGGATCCAAGCAAGATGAACTCCTTGACAACTGCAATCTTTTCTCCACTTATCGTGGTGTTACCTATTGGTCCAGTTGTGAGGATTCGGGTCTTCCTTACCTCGAGCTGTAAGCTAGACTGCGGGCTGCATTCCTTGATCTTCATCAGCAAGTGCTTCAAGTCCTGCTCACTTTTAGCAAGCATCTCCTTGTGTCATCTGCATATCACAGGTTGTTCATAAGCCTTCCCCCAATCCCAATGCCACGTTCTTCTTCATATAATCCAACTTCTCCGATTATGTGCTCAGCATGCAGACTGAATCAGTATGGTGAGATGATACAACCCTGATGCACACCTCTCCTGATTTTAAATCATGCAGTATTCCCTTGTTCTGCCGTCACACCTGATTTATGTTCCGGTTCTGAATGAGCACAATGAAGTGTTCTGGAATTCTCATTCTTCTCAAGGCAATATATAGTTTGCCATCACACACACAGTCAAACACTTGTGCGTAGTCAATAAAACGCAAGTAAACATCTCTCTGGAATTCTCTGCTTTCAGCCAAGATTCATCTGACATCACCAATGACATCCCTTGTTCCATGTCCTCCTCTGAATCCGGCCCGAACCTCTGGCAGCTCCCTGTCAATGGACTGCTGCAATCGTTATTAAATGATCGTCAGCAAAGTTTCACCTGCATGTGATATTAATTGTATTGTTTTATAATTTGAGTGTTCAGTTGGGTCACCTTTCTTTGGACTGAGTACAAATATTAACCTCTCCCAGTCAGTTGACCAGGTAGCTGTCTTTCAAATTCATCGACATAGATGAATGAGTTCCTCCAGTGCTTCATCGGTTTGTTGAAACCTTTCAGTTGGTATTTCGTTCATTCCTAGAGGCTTACTTTCGACTGATGCATTCAATGCCGCTTGAAGGTCTTCCTTCAGTACCACTGGGTCTCGCTCACAGGCGACCTCTCCAAATGGTGGGATGTTGACCAGTTCTTTTTGGAACAGCGACTCTGTGCTTTCTTTCCATCTTCTTTTCTTGTCTCTTGCATCGTTCAATATTTTGCCCATAGAATTTTTAATATTGCAACTTAAGATTTTATCTTTTTTCCCTTCAATTCTTTCCATTTAAGATATGCTAAGTCTGTTGTTTCTTTTTGGTTTTCGAAGTCTAGCACTTTTCTTTATATTACTTTACTTTGTCTTCTCAGGGTAGCCTTTGAAATGTTCTGTCCGGCTCTTGGACTTCA